TGTAAATAAAATATATATCTGTAATATTTAATAGTATTTTAAAACAAAAACATCCCAAACTAACGGTGTATGGCAGCGTGCCTAAAGGCAAATTGCTGAAACTTCCCGTACCGTAACGAAATGATATTAAATGTTTTCAAATAGATTTTTATAAATATCGTAACATTGTTCAATATTCATAAGAATTATATAAACTGAATTGCAAAGTTGGAATTATTTGTTTGAAGGATATTAAAACAGTAATTAAAATCTAAATTAAATTACAATCTAAATTATTTTCGAAATACAAAAAAAATTTTTGAAACAAAAAATTGAAAAAAAAATAGAAACAAAAATTGTTTTTTCCAAGGTGATTATTTTGTTGAAACAAGCAGAAAGTTCTTTGAATAATTCACATCGGACGCTTAGTACTCTCAAAAACTGCCATTTTTTATTGTAAATAATTATTTATGGTAATATTTCAGCGGTGACACCAATGATTTAACTATACGTACAGGAAGTTCCTACCACAATTCAAATGGAAATGTATACGAAGTAACCGACATAGTTTTACATCCGAAATTTAATATAAGGACCTTTGATTATGATGTCGCTCTGGTTAAAGTTAAAAATCCTATTAAACTTACAGTGTGTAATAGTCGACCTGTAAATTTAGCTAATGAGCAATATGAGACTCCTGTAGGATCTTTAGTTTATGTAACAGGATGGGGAGCTAACCAGGTAATATAATAAAACTGAAGTATTTTATATTCTATATATTTCCTGTGAGTTGATTTAAAAAACTGACTTTTATGGGCCGATTCTGCTGTAAAGTGAACTAATGTTATGGCAAGGTTGTGTTAACTTCCAGTTTTCATACAAAATGCTACTAAATACGGTCAAAATGCCGTGTATTTGCTGTCTGATCAAGTGTTTTATACATAAAATGCAACTTCACTCATATGTTATCAAGCCATATTTTAAAGATCCAGGTATAATGACATCGTCTTTTTTACATTTGTGGGTCTTCTATGTTAGGTTTTCTATCTAAAACGCCTAACTGCACAGCTACCACACAGGATTTTGCCAACATGGTCTTGCCATAACATTGGTCTTAAATAACGATAGAATAAAAACTATGATATGTCACAACAAGAACTCATAATTCTTGGATGTGTGTGTTTTTTATTTAATATTTATGCTAAAAATTAATTAACAGTATGCTGATCCTGCAATTTTATTTAAGGCAAGTTGCATGAACTTCCCCTTATGTGTAATAAATCCTAATAATCAACTTAGTCAATAAAAATTAAAATTTAGCAGCTTTTAAAATTTGAACAATAACATTTTTAGCTATTTACATAAAAAACAAATTATAAGTAAACCACTTTATTACAGCCTGTTAAATAACTATAATATTCTAAGATGATTGTTTAGAGTTAAACATTATGTTTTATAAGAATCATCACAAAAAAAAATTCAAAATTTTTCTGAAACTAACCAGCACGATATCTAACTGAGGCTTTTGATTTTTTGAAATTAAAACGTTTTCGAAATTCGAAAAATTTTGGATCACACACATGCACATACATGCTTTTTTCATTTTGGTGACAAGCAATTCAAAATGACGAGAATGGTCGAAAAAACATGCAATTACAAATGGATTTATTGACAAAAACAAACTTATTCCTCGGAAAGTTAATAACTAACAATTAATAATATATTTTAAATTACATACAAATTAATAACCTTTAGAACCTGGTAATTACTTAATTACAATCACTTGTTAATTGTTGTTAATTATTATTACTTATTACTTCTGCATCAATGCTAGTAATTATTTCAAAATTCATTTACAGACCGAAGGAAACGATTCTTCAGAATTACTTGGTGCTTGGATTCCTCTGATAGATTCTTCAGTATGTCAAAGTAATTATGCAGAACCAGGAAAACCAGACAGAATCACTGATAGGTAAAAATTAAATTTATAATAACACCTTAAAATTGTAAAAAATTAATAACTTTCACATTTTATTATAGAATGTTATGTGCTGGTTCTGCAAAAGGTGACGGTTTTTGTCACGGTGATTATGGTGGTCCATTAGTTGACAAAAACAGGAAACTTATAGGGATTGTATCCTGGGGTACCCATTGTGGTCAATCTGATAAACCGGGAGTTTACACAAAAGTAAATCATCCAGAAATTCTAGAGTTCATTTTGACGAAATCTAGTGATTAAAAATATCATATCAAAAATAATTGCCTTCTATTTTGTAACTTTTGTATAAAAATTTTGAATAAATATTTTGTTGTGCATGTACTTTCATTTGTTGTAGAGCAGGGTGTCGAAATACAAAAAAAGGTTCGAGATAATATTGAGTCAATAACATGATATTTAACTTCCCGTAGGGTAAGTTATGGTAATCGCAAACAAATCGAAAATGAAAACTTTTGCCTATCTTTACGTTTCAAAGATTTCTGAACATTTTGGCATAGCTTAGATGTGTGTGCGGATACAAATTTTCGTCGACGATTTCGGGAACACCGATCAACCGATTTGAATAATTCAAGAAACATTGGATTTGTATTGATAAGGAGACGTGCTGATTAGTTTTTGACGATGACAGGTCTAGGCGTTCCAAAGATACGAGGCAAAAAGTGCCAAAAACGGTAACTCAGTTTTTAAGAGAACGGAGCGTCCGATTTCAATAATTCAAAAAACATTTTACTTATATTGAAGAATTGATTAAATTTTTGGAAAGGCAGGTCCAGCAGTTATAGACTCTCAATAAAAATAAGTTAAAAAAATGTCATTTGTCGGTCAAAAATGTTTTTGGACATATGTACATCAAATTATCAGATATTTTATAGAGATTTTAATAATGTGTACACATTTTGTGTAAATTTTTTGGGTACCGTACCAAGATTTTCAATTCCGGTACCATGATACACGATACCATGCACCCCACTAGTTTCTTATTTCTATAAAAGCCTGATTTTATATAAAGTAATGCTAAATTAAGTTTGTATTTTGGTATCTCCATTTTTGAAGCATGACATACCTTTATTGAAAGTTTTAAACCCAAAATCTATTTTTTTAAATCATTTCTTTCTGAATATGGTTTAAGGTCACAAGTTGTAATCTTATTTGAAAAATCTTTTAGAATTACTACTTTGTATTCGTGTAATTAGTACTTGTATAAACTGGGAATTGGAAACACCTGTTTTGTTTGATATCTACACGCGAAAGCACTTAAATACAGTTTATCATATAATGATTGTACTTTAGTGCTAATTTTTTACGTGTTGTAGACAATGAATAAGTAATCAAATTTTTCAAAATTATGCATTTTACGTATGAACATAGCTCATCAAAATTATATAATACCCGGGTATAAAATATGATGAGTTGGTACATGAGATCTCTATTTTGTATTGAAAACTTGCAAAAGCATCATAATTAACAATGATGAAACTTTTGGTAGTTTTAGCGATTTTCGCTCAAATCAGTTTTGCTTTTGGTAAAAAAAAAATAACTCACGTTGACATAATATCTGCATTTGGTTGTCTTTTTAACGAAGTTAACTTTTTAGGAAATAATGTAACAGAATTCGATGACCGAATCGTTGGAGGTGAAGATGTTGATATATCAACTTGTGGTTGGCAAATTTCATTTCAAAGTGAAACCTTCATTTTTGTGGAGGATCAATTATTGCACCAAAATGGATTCTAACTGCTGCACACTGTGTTGAATGGTAAGGATATTTTAATAAAATACTTAATATTATATATATATATATATATATATATATACAAATAAATTAATGTTATGAGTAAATCAGCTACATCTGTAGCTAAACAAATATATTGCAATCCTTATAAGAAAAAATTAATGGGTTTTATAGCTGCATCGGTAAATTAAAACTAAACAATTGGTTTATTAATAATCATTCATTAAAAGCAAAAACATAAGAACTAAAAGATGATCAAGATTTGATCAATTTCAAAGCAGTTTTACATAAATTTTTTCAAATAAGAAAATATTATTTTCTGTTTTGCCATTAGAAATATTCAATTTAAAAGTTATATACGGTTAAGGTTAATTATCAATTCAGTTGTAAAGATGAAATATACAGAGAAAGATGCAGATTGTAGCGCAATCCAATAGCACAACTAGTGGTGCATAGCATCGTAGAAGGTAAATTCGTGAAACTTCCCATACTGAAAATTAAACTTTGTTTTTTTTTAAAATATGAGAATTTTTTTACATTTGAAATTTTTTTAAAAACTTTGAACTTTGAAAGAGCGTAAACGCAGTGTCGCAATCTAATTGATATACATTTGCACGGAACGCATTGAAACAAAATTTGTACTTATAAAAATCTCTATAAAATATCTGATAAATTGATGTGCATAAGCCTTATCATCAATTTTTATCACCAAATTGAATTTTTTTAGAAACCTCTAAAACGTAAACACGTATAAAAACAATTTCTTTTTCGATTTATTTGTTATTACTATAACTTACTCTTATGTCTGATTAAAACGGCAATATTTCAATATCAAAATCATGAAATTAGCTCAAAACTGGGTTATACCTCAAAAATGGTCAAATATTTTAACTTTAACAATTTACCAAATGGTAACCAATTTTATTGCGAAATCCGAAATATAAGCTTAGTAAAAACTAAACCTTAAATTAAATTGAGTAATTAATATTGTATTTAGTGTAACTATGTGTGTTTGTTTCTGTAAATATAACTCTAATTAGAACAAATTCAAAATATAAAATTTTTAATACAACAAGTCCGGGACAAATAGTGCTTCAAAATAATAACTAGTGGTGTACGGCATTGTGTCTTGAGGCAAATCTCTCGATAATAAAAATAAAATAAAATAATTTTGAAAATAAAAAGAAAATGAAATTACTTTTTTCCTCGAAAACAATCGTTTCGTTAACACAAGCAGAAAGTTTTTTGAATTATTCTAATCGGATGCTTATTTCTTTCAAAATAGCCATTTTTTGCACATTTTGCTTTGTATCTCCGAAAAAGCTATACCTGTCTTAGACAAAATTTAATTACCACTTTTACCCATCTTTACAAAATGAATGTTATTTTGGATTTCTCAAAAACTCCATTTCTATTTTCTGCATTCTTTGCTCCGTATCTCAGAAACGGCTGAACCGACTTTTGCCAAAAACTAACCAGCAATCTTTCTACCAATAGGAATAGATTGTTTTTGAACCATTCAAATCGGTTGATCCGTGCGCCCGAAAACGTAGGCGAAAAATTGTATCCATGCATACATACACACTCACACACGTACACACATCCATTTTTTCTAAGGTATTATTCCAAAATGTTCAGAAACCTTCAAAACGTGAAGAAATATAAAAAAATTTAATTTCGATTTTTGGACGATTACAATAACTTACCCTACGGGAAGTTAATAAACAGGTATTATGAGAAAATAAATCTTTTTTTAAGTTCTTTATAACGTAATGTTTGATGTGCATAGCCTCCATATATATTCCCAGATTAATATACTAAATATTACTTCTGATTAATTAAACTACATTGTAATGAGATGTATATAATGGGCATATAAACTAGTGATGTGCCGACTCGAAAATTTCCTGATTCGAGTGATTCGAATCAGAAAAAAACCTGATTCGAATCATGATTCGAATCAATTCGAATCAAGTTCATATATGAACAATTATAATTTAAGAGAAGAAATATATCATTTTATAATTTTATAAGTGAAATAATTAATTTAGTAAGCAATTAATTCCAAAAAGTGCAGAGATGAATACATTTATACTATATATATAATAATAACTAGCTACAAATATAACTAATCTTTCAAGTGAATTTACAGTAAAATATAACCAAACACTTCTCTATCACTAAAGCGTATAAAACAATATTCTTAATCTTACGTTGAACGAATGCATGTGTATATTATTGATTGTTTAGATCTAATCTAAACAGGGAGCTGAATCTAACGTCTTACGAACGACTTAAAATTCAATCCACTACTGTAAAGATTGATATTATTTCATTTGTGTGAATTTGCCATTACTTGCATAATTAAAATATAATAATTTGTATGTGTATAAAACTCGTTGTGTAGTTTATTTTGATAATAATTAAAATCTAAATCGCTTATTTATTATCTAAATGAGTTTTTGATATTTCATGAACAAATTTGCTCTCAGCGCTTAGTCAAAAATAAACAAACACTCAAGACCCATACGCACTGCATCTCCATAAGTCGATACGCTAAACACGGACACATGTTTCGAACTCAAGTCGGCATGATTCAGTTTGAGTCATATGAACTCGGATAAATTCATACCGACTTGAAGTCGGGATAAGTCGGTTTGAGTCATAGGAACTCGAATCAATTCATAACGACTTGAAGTCGGGATAAGTCGGTTTGAGTCATAGGAACTCGAATCAATTCATAACGACTTGAAGTCGGGATAAGTCGGTTTGAGTCATAGGAACTCGGATGAATTCATATCGACTTGAATGCGGTTAAAGTCATATAAATTGGAGTCGGGTGATACATTTAAGCGTATTAAAGGCGGGTGACTCGCATGATTTAATTCAAGATTTATTTTTTATATTTATTATTATTATTTTTTATATTTATTATTATTATTATTATAATATTGAATTAAATTAAAACATTTTTTTTATATTTATGAAAATTTGTGTTCACACATGTTTTATCACAGTAAATATTTCGCGGCTTGATACGAGTTGATTCGAATCAAGTAAAATCTGATTCGAATCAAGTCGTTAAAGGCTTGATTCGAATGATTCGAATCACTTGATTCGACTTGGCACATCACTAATATAAACCTATGTTTTATAATTTAAATATGGCAACATAAATATTGGGGTTTAAAATATTTTACATATGTTTAGAACCTCATTTAAAAACGAAAAAATCAAATTCTCAAATGATAATAAGTAATTAAATTCTAATTTTTAAAACTTTTAGAGAATTAATTACAAATTTGATAAAAACTAAATTAACTTTAAAATTTGAATTTTCAATTTCAATGGAATTTTTGCATATATGCTACTATCAATAATTATTTCTAGGTTGAAAAAGCCGCTCAAAGACATAACCGTACGTATAGGAAGCAGTATACGTAACAAAGGTGGTCGAGTTCATAAAGTAATAGATTTCCACATGCATCCCTCGTACAATAAGAGGGCGGATTATGATTTTGACGTTGCTGTACTAGAACTTGAAAAACCAGTCTCATATACGGTTTGTACAGTAGTATCAGTAGATTTA